GAATCCAGCAGCACATCAAAAAGCTTAGTCCACCATAGATCCACAGTGGGCTTCATCCTCGGGATACACAAGGCTGGTTTAAACAATACACCAAATCATAAACATATCCCCATCACATAAAACAGAATCAATGCCAATCACATGATTATCTCAATAGAGCAGAAAAGGCCTTTGAACAAACTTCAAAGCCCTTCATCGCTAAAAACTCTCAATAAACTAGGTATTGATGGAATGTACCTCAAAATAATAAGATCTATTTATGACAAACCCACAGCCAATATCATACTGAATGGCAAAAACCAGAAGCATTCCCTTTGAAAACCGGCACAAGACAGGGATGCACTCTTCGCCACTCCTATTCAACATAGTGTTGGAAGTTCGACCAGGTCAATCAGGCAAGAGAAAGAAAAAAGGTATTCAATAGGAAAAGAAGAATAAATGTCCCTGTTGTAGATGACATGATTGTATATTTAGAAAACCCCATCGTCCAGTCCAAAATCTCCTTAAGCTGATAAGCAACTTCAGCAAAGCTCAGGATACAAAATCAAAGTGCAAAAATCACAAGCATTCCTATACACTATTAACAAACAGACAGTCAAATCATGAGTGAACCTCCCATTCACAATTGCTACAAAGATAATAAAATAGGAATACAACTTACAACAGATGTGAAGGAACTCTTCAAGGAGAACTACAAACCAACTGCTCAGTGAAATAAAAGAGGACACAAACAAATGGCAGAATATTCCATGCTCATGGATAGGAAGAATTAATATCATGAAAATGGCCATTCCTGCCCAAAGTAATTTATAGATTCAATGCCATCCCCATCGAGCTACCAATGACTTTCTTCACAGAACTGGAAAAACTACTTTAAAGTGCATATGGAACCAAAAAAGAGCTCACGTTGCCAAGACAATCCTAAGCAAAAGAACAAAGCTGGAGGCATCATGCTACCTGACTTCAAATTATACTACAAGACTACATTAACCAAAACAGCAATGGTACTGGTACCAAAACAGAGATATAGACCAATGGAGCCAGAACAGAGGTCTCAGAAATACACACATCTAGAACCACCTGATCTTTGACAAACCTGAAAAAACAAGAACCCTATTTATAATGATGTTTGCTGGGAAACTGGCTAGCCATATGTAGAAAGCTGATACTGGATCCCTTCCTTACACCTTATACAAAAATTAATTCAAGATGCATTAAAGACTTAAATTTAGCCCTAAAACCGCAAAAACCCTAGAAGAAATAGGCAATAACCATTCAGGACATAGGCATGGGCAAGGACTTCATGCCTAAAACACAAAAGCAATGGCAACAAAAGCCAAATTGACAAGTGGGATCTAATTAAACTAAAGAGCTCCTGCACAGTGAAAAAACTACCATCAGGGTGAACAGGCAACCTACAGAATGGGAGAAATTTCTGCAATCTACCCATCTGAACAAAGGGCTAACATCCAAAATCTACAAGAACTCAAACAAATTTATGAGAAGAAAAAAACAAACAACCCCATCGAAAAGTGGGCAAAGGATATGAACAGACAATTCCGCAAAAGAAGACATCCATGCAGCCAACAGACATGTGAAAAAAATACTCATCACAACTGCTCATCAGAGAAATGAAATCAAAATCACAATTAGATACGTCCCACACCCAGTTAGAATGGCCATCATCAAAAAGTCAGGAAACAACAGATGCTGGAGAGGATGTGGAGAAACAGGACTGCTTTTACACTGTTGGTGGGAGTGTAAATTAGTTCAACCATTGTGGAAGACAGTGTGGCAATTCCTCAAGGATCTACAACGATAATTACCATTTGACCCAGCAATCTCATTACTGGGTATATATCACAAAGGATTATAAATCATGCTACTATAAAGACATATGCACACATATGTTTGTTGTGGCACTATTCACAATAGCAAAGACTTGGAACCAACCCAGATGTCCATCAATGATAGACTGGATTAAGAAAATGTGGCACATACATACCATGGAATATTATATAGCCATAAAAAAGAATGAGTTCATGTCCTTTGTAGGGACCATGGATGAAGCTGGAAACCATCATTCTCAGCAAACTATCACAAGGACAGAAAACCAAGCACTGCATGTTCTCACTCATACTTGAGAACTGAACAATGAGAACACTTGGACACAGGGCAGGGAACATCACACAATGGGACTGTTGGGGGTGGAGTCTGGGGGAGGGATAGCTTTAGGAGAAATACCTAATATAAATGATGAATTGATGGGTGCAGCAAACCAACATGGCATATGTATACCTATGTATCAAACCTGCACGTCTCTGTACATGTACTTAGATCCTTAAAGTATAATAAATAAAAATAATTAAAAAGATATATTTCATTTCTGTGTATATACACCAAAAAAATTGAAGGCAGGGACTCAAACAGATAATTGCACACCAATGGTCATGGCAGCATTATAATAGCTAAAAGATGAAAACAACCTTTATGTCCATTAACAGATGATATCAACAAAATGTAGTACATACCTACAGTGGAATATTATTCATCCATAAAAATGTCTGAAATTATGACACACGCTACAACATGGATCAGTCTTGAAGACATTATGCCAAGTGAAATAAGCCAGACACAAAAAGAACAAATGTTAAATGATTCCACTTGGATGAGGTACTAGAATAGTCAAATACATTGAGACAAAAAGTAGAAGCATAATTACCATGGGCTGAGGGAGGAAGGAAGGGCGAATCATTGTTTAAAGGTAGAGAGACTCAGTTTACAATAATGAATAGATTCTGGAGACGGTTGCACAACAATGCGAACATATTAGTGTCACTGAAGTATAGTCTTAAAATTGTAAAATTTATTAATTTTATTATGCCTATTTTACCACAAAACAAAAAAAGTAAAAGACAAAATCCTTGACAAACTGACAATCAAAGACAGTGGTTATCCTATATGTTCTTTGATCAGTAACCTGCAGTAACTTTTTAATGATTATCATACACTGAAACATGCTCTCTACTTTGTCAATGTGACTGTATGTGCTCATCTTTTATCTACAGGTTTAGAAGAGGGATAGAAATTGGAGGGAGAAGGGGAAGAAGCAATGTGGGATGAGAACCTTTTAGAGAATGGAAGCTACCTTTTTCAAAAGGGAAGCAGAAACATGTCTAGATCTAAAGAATTAAAATACAGGCTGAAGCACTCAGCCTAGAAGGGTCAGGTTCTCAGTGAGTTACTCCCACAGATGAGGAAAAAAAAAAAAGAATTAGAATAACAATACATATAACATTGCATATTATACAGAGAGATAAATTAGAGATATATAAAGACAGAGAGGTTTATCTCTCTATATATAGATAAGTTACAGAGATTTCCTTTTGAGAGATAATGTCAGTGTCACTGTTGAGTGAATTGAGGTGAAAGGCATACGGGATTTCATTGCAAGTTTTTGAGAGGTGAAGTTTAATTCCATAAATTTAGTATTGAAAGTACAATTATTCTGTAGATCTCCTGGCACATTTTTATTGCCATTATATTAAAATGATTTTCTATGATATTTGTATTTCTTTAAAATCAGAATATGTAAATATAATATTGTCTTCAAATGCTTCAAATACTCACTTTTGTATTTATATGTCAAATATTCAAGATGCTTCTAATGCCATCAAAAATACCAGCTCTATCATTCACTACTTATACGGCCTTGACCAAGGAGCATCACCTAGATGAGCCTGTTAATTACAGGGGTCTGTAAGTTAAATCATACATCTAACCCAGAGGGTGTTTTAGTAATAAAATGAGACATTACAAGCTTATATCTTAACATGGCATACAGCACAAAATAGGATTTTAGTAAAAGTTGAATTAAATGGAGGTTAAGCTACATAATTACAATAACAATTGGTCCATTAGCTTATACAGTTCAACAAAATATGCAAACCGTAAATTATTAAGAAACCAAAACTACAGATACATTTTTCATTAGAGCAAAATAGTAAAGTTTAAGCATGCTGTTGCTATACAACCTGCTCTTGTCTGATTCTTCACTGAGGGGAGTAAGGAGACTGGAGATCAAACATGAGGCCCTGATTTCTACGATGAAATGCACTGTAACGTGTTCATCACATTACAGTGACTGCAACTGTACAGTCCCTTCTTTAAAGTAAGCAACAAAGGAAGCTCTAGAAAGATGTGGCTGCTCCTGCAAACAACTTTATATAAATCAGGTCTCTGGTTTCTTAGCTGTGAGGAAACAGAGAACTTTTAACTTCTACTAAATGAAATACAGCTGTTCAATCCTGTTCAGGACTGGTTTTCAAACTCTGATTTACATAAGAACCACCTGAGGGGATTAAAACCCAGATTCCCAGGCCTAAGTAGCTATCTGTTTATCAAGAGCTACAGGTAACTCTGATGATCCTGTGGGAAACTAACACCACACACACACACACACACACACACACACAGAGAGAGAGAGAGAGAGAGAGAGAGAGACTATGTAATTATTTTTAAGTCATAAAGACAAGCGATGTAGGGACTAGCTTTTATTTCTACATAGAGACTTAAATAGAGCTCTTACTCTGAACCTTTCCTAAGTGTGACCACTAGAAAAATAGAAAAGAAACTCTCCCTTCAGGTTATAATTGCCTGGAAGCTCCTTGTTCTCTGCATTTCTGGGCCTGCTGCAGGACCTGAGAGAGACAGCCAGGCAGGCGCCCACCAGGGCTCATTCCAGGCCACTCACTGCTGTCCTGAGTTGACGATCAGGGAGGAGCACATCCAGGGGGACACGGCGTGCCTGGCTGTGACCTCTTGGCTGTCACTGGTTCAAGGGGAGAAGCTGAGCTTCCCCAGAACTAAAGCCAGTCACAGATTCCTGCAGGCCAGGCAGCAGGCCCCCTGCCCTTCCTGCCCTTTCCTCAGCTGCCACTCTGAATCAGAAACCGAGTCTTGAGTTGGACCAAGTTGCGTGTAAAAGAAAGCAAACATACCTGCTCTTCAGCACCACAGGTCCAAGTTTTGAGTTTTCAGTTGCCTTTCACTACCCCCTTGCTCTCGTTCCTCCTTCCACTTTTCTTTTGTGTCCCTCCTTTATAAAGGAGAAAAAGAGAGAGAGCTGAGGAAGCTAGTCATTTCCACGAGTGGGATGGTGCAATAAAGCTGAAATTGAAAGTAAAAGCAATTCATGCAGTTGTTACGAATTAGCAGAGGCACATCTCAATTTTTTTGTTGTTGTTGTTGTGAGACAGAGTCTCACTCTATCGCCCAGGTTGGAGTGCAGTGGTGCGATCTTGGCTCAGTGCAAGCTCCTCCTCCCAGGTTCATGCCATTCTCTTGCCTCAGCCTCCCCCCGAGTAGCTGGGACTACAGGCACCCACCACCATGCCTGGCTAATTTTTTGTTTTTAGTAAAGACAGGGTTTCACTGTGTTAGCCAGGATGGTCTTGAGTTATTGACCTCGTGATCCATGCACCTTGGCCTCCCAAAGTGCTGAGATTACAGGCGTGAGCCACCGCGCCCGGCCCTGATCTGAGTTTGAGGATGGTGGTTGGGTGCAGGGGTGAGAAGAGGTCAGAAAAAGCCACAGATGCTGCACAGTCACACCTTAGCAAGCACAGTCCCACCAGCTTTCTTCTGTCTTCCCCACCTTGGAAGTCTTCCTGGGCTTTCTTCTTGATACCTCTCCCAGTTAGCTTTAGCTTCCTTGGCACACAAGAAAAATAGAAAACCCATATTAGAAACAATAAACAAACCTTCAGAAACCAAGAGTATTGTAAGCATTTTTCTTTTAGTGGGAATTCTTGGGTTCTTTTTTTAACAAGTAGCTTTCAATGTTTTAAATATGTTCACTCACTCGCAAACACACAGACACAGGTATACTTCAAAGATATTGTAGATTTGGTTCAAGACCACGGCAATAAAGTAAATGTGGCAATAAAGTAAATGTTGCAATAAAGTGAGTCACACCAAAGTTTTGGTTTTCCAAAACTTATGCTTACACTATTCTGTAGTCTAAGTTTAGTAAGTGTGCAATAGCATTATGTCTGAAAATAAAATTACAATCCTTAATTTTAAAATATTTTATTGCTGAAAAATGCTAATGATCATCTGAGTCTTCAGCAAGTGGTAATCTTTGTGCTAGTGGAGAGTTTTGCCTCAATTCAATGGCTGCTGACTGATCACGGTGATAGTTGCTGAAGGTTAGGGTGACTGTTGGCAATTTCTTAATGTAAGATGATAGTGAAGTTTAACGTATTGATTGACTCTTTGTTTCACAAAAGATTCATCTGTACCATGAGATGCTATTTGATCTCATTTTACCCAGTTGTTTCAAAACTGGAGTCAGTCCTCTCAAATCCCATCACTGCTTTATCAATTAAGTTGATGTAATATTCTAAATCTTCTGTTGTCATTTCAACAATGTTCACAGCATCTTCACCATGAGTAGATTCCATCTCAAGAAACCATTTCTTTGCTCATCCCTATGAAGCAACTCCTCATCCATGCAATTTGTCTCATGAGATTCCAGCAATTCAACCACATCTTCAGGCTCCACTTCCAATTCCAGTTCTCTTGCTATTTCCACTGTATCTCCAGTTACTTCCTCTATTGATGTCTTGAACCTCTTAAAGTCACCTATGGGGGCTGGAATCAACCTTTTCCCAGTTCCCATTAACGTTGATATTTTGACATCCTCCCATGAATCACGAATGTTCTTAATGACATCTAGAATGGTAATTTTTTTTTCAGAAGGTTTTCAAATAAATTTGCCCAGATCTGTCAGAGGAATCATTATCTGGTGTAGCTATAGCCTGACAAAATGTATTTCTCAAATAATAAGAATTGCAACTTGAAATTATTCCTTGATCCATGGGCTACAGAATGGATGTTGTGTTAGCAGATATGAAAACAATGTTAATCGCCTTGTATATGTCTATCAGAGCTCTGGAATTATCAGGTGTATGTTAATATTTTGAAAGTTTCTTTCTGAATAGTAGCTCTTAACAGTAGGCTTACAATATTCATTACACCGTGCTATACACAAATGTGCTGTCATCTGGGCTTTGTTGTTTCATTTATAGAGCATAAGCAGAGTACATTTACATATTTTTAAGGGCCCTAGAGTTTTCAAAATAGTAAGTGAACATTGAATTCAACTTAAAGTTACAAACTGCATTAGCCCCTAACAAGAGAGTCAGTTTGACCTTTGAAGCTTTGAAGTCAGGCATTGACTTCTCTTCATTAGTTATGGAAGCCCTAGATGGCATCTTCTTCCAATAAAAGGCTGTGTCATCTACATTGGAAATCTGTTGCTTAGGGTAACCACCTTAAGTAATTATCTTAGCTAGATCTTCTGGATAACTTGCTGCAGCTTCTGCATCAGCACTTGCTGCTTTACCTTGTACTTTTATGTTACTGGAGACAGCTTCTTTCCTTAAACCTCATGAACCAACCTCTGCTAGTTTCCAGCTCTTCCTCTGCATCCTTGTCATCTCTCTCAGCCTTCATAGAATTGAAGAAAGCAATGATCTTGCTCTGGCTTAGAGTTTGGCTTAGGAGAATGTTGTGGCTGGTTTGATCTATCAAGACCACTAAAACACTCTCTGTATTAGTAGTTAGGCTATTTCACTTTCTCATCATTCCTGTGATCATTGAAGCTGCGCTTTTAAGTTCCTTCAAGAATTTTTCTTCTGCATTCGTAACTTGGCTAACTGGCACATGAGGCCTATATCAGCTTTCAGCATGCCTTCCTCAGTAAGTGTAATCATTTCTAACTTTTGGTTTAACGTAAGAGATTTGTGACCTTTCCTTTCACTTGAACACAGGGGAAATTGTAGGATTATTAATTGTCCTAATTTCAATATTGTTGTATCTCAGGGAACATGGAGGCCCAAGGAGAGGGAAAGCCAGTAGGAAGAACAGTCAGAATGCACACATTTTTCAAGTTTGCTCTCTTATAGGGATGCAGTTCATATAAGATACAGTATAAAGATAAAGTATCTGTAAAGTGCAGTAAAGTGTACTGTAATAAAATGAGGAATGCCTGTATGTATGTATTCTTATGTACACACACACATATACATACATGTATGTATACACACATATATGTGTAAATATAAATTTGGGGTGCACTACATTTTTGAAGATTTTACTTGAGGAAGAAAAAACTCGTGAATTGGGACCCACCAAACCCAAAGAGGTTTAGTGTTTACAATGACAAAGTGTCAGAGGCAAGTATTTATAGAGCAGTTATGGAAGCAAAATAAAGAAAATGGCAGTTACAAAATTGCATTTTTTTAAATTTACCTTGTTGGAAATTCCCTAGTCAAACAGTCATATTTTAGGTTGCTGTTTATGACTGAGTAAAAGCAGAAAACCCCCATGTCTATCCTCTTAGATCCCAGCTCAGTGCGAGAATTAAATTAATATAAGATAGAGTAACAGGAGAAAAGCATAAGATGAGTTTTATATGACATGAGAGCCCTCATAAAGAAATGAAGACTCAAAGAAGCCCCTATAGTTAGTTACTTACATAGTGGATTGGACAAAGAGCAGTTAGAAATAGCTTTATTTCTAACTAGAAATAGCTAAATTATTAATATTTGGGGAAGCTTAAAAGATAAAAGCTATTTACAATGTCTGTACAGAATTCTGTTTGTTTCAACTTCTCATCCATGGGGCTAAAGATGTTGCCTTTCCTTCTAGTATAGAGAGAATATCTTTCACACGGGAATTTCATCTTCTGCTTTTAAAAAACAGTATGAAGATCAAAACCAGCTGTTTTTTTAAGTGTCTTTGCTTTAAACTTTCAGTAGGCCAGAAAAGCATGTTTTAATGTCTTCAATGGGCTGAGTTTAAACTTTGTTTCTAACATAAGCATTAACCAGAAATGACCTGTTATTTTTTACTTATGTTTCTAGTAGAAGCAACGTTAAGGCTAGTTTTAAGGCCCGGGTGGTTTTGTTTGCTCAGGGATTTTGCAGGCCCAGTCTCCATTCTAACATTATGTACATTTTGTAATAAAATAATTAGAAAATAAGGATAATTAAAGATAAAAATGACTAATCCTTAATTAATTGCATTATCTAAAGATGCTCATTAGCATTTTGCTCAAACTCTTGCACATCCCTCGCACACAGACAGTATTTTAACATAGATATCCCCCTTCTACAGAAATTAGCAAATTGGCCCAGTTTCAAAGGAATCTACTTAGTCAGAAAATAAAGTGATTGCATGGACCTGTTTGTGGAGGAAAGAAACAAATAAAGTGTGTAATAGGAAAATGATAGGTAATGTAATAGGTAGGGAAATGCCTGAGGAAGCTGGGCTTTGTGAGGACAGAGGGAGTTCTCCTCCTTCTTTCCATTCTCCACTTACCCTACCATAGTCCTTATCTATGCAAACTTTTTCATAAAAGGCAAAATAACTAGGCCTATTAAGTCACATCTGTAGTTGCAGTGACTCCAAAGGCTGAGGCAGGAGGATCCTTTAAGACCTGGAGATGGAAGCTATAGTGTGCTATAATTGCACCTGTGAATAGCCACTGCACTCCAGCATGGGCAATATAGCCAGACTTTATCTTTTAAAAAAAAAAGCATCAAATAGTAATATTTTAGGATTTGCATACCATAGGTATCTGTCACACCTAGAGCATCCATAGACAATATCTAACAAGTGGATGTGGTTGTGTTCTGAATGAAACTTTATTTACTAAAGTAGCCATTGGGATAAATTTGGCCTATTGACTACAGTTTGCTGACCTCTGGATTAGGTAAATGTAATGCAACATGAATGGGATTACCACCTCCTCAAGTATCATTGTCTTACAAGTTGGTGGACCAGTTTCAGACTCCCAATCTGAGTGTCTGCTTCTTAGGTGATTTGTAGTAAAAATCCTCACTGGAGCAGAGATACCAAAAAAGAATGTGTTTACTAACATCTACCTGAGTATCAGAGAAGGGAATTTCTACCTTGGTTCCTGGGCAATGCATTGATATGTCTGCTCAACTAATTGTCTATCTCCCAAAACATAGCACTCCCCATAGCTCCTCCTAGTTAAGCAATAGAGAAAGAAGTGGTGATAGAACATAATCAGTGGTAGTGAGGAAGAACCTGGTTTGGCTAGGGGGACACCTGCCCACTGTGAGTGAACAAGGAAGCCTAACGTGTGAATGTACGTCATGATGACTAAAGCTAGTGGGTGGCAATGATGAAGGCTATAAA